AAAATTGCAGAGATTATCGTGTGCATTTGTTTCCAGAAAGAGCACAGAAATTCCCCTTAGTTGGCATGTTACAGAGTCAGTATCTCCAGAAGACAGGATTTTGCACTGTGTTGTGTTGCACAGGTAACACAGGAAATCCAGAGTCCTGATGACAGTGGTGTGCATGCACACCAGCAGCTTGTAACCCTTTGGCTGGTAGCGATGTGGGTTATTGGGTTTGATGGACCACCATAAGAGTCATGCTAAGGGAGTACAAGTTCTGCAAACACGTACACTTTCATATGGAAACCTTCTTGAGGAGAACAAACCAAAGGGGAATGGTAAAACTTGACCAAAGCAGTTCCTTTCAAAGTGAAGCATGTGGTCTGCAGTGCTTGCCACACCCTGACAAAGAACGCCAGGTTGAGAAACTCAAGTGAGTTCAGCTTTGTTTCCAAAATAATACTCTTTCCCTTTAATCAGAGAGATGTTAAACAGGTTGAGCTCTGCAAACTCAGCCTAGAAACATTCTCATTACGTACAACACAGAGGTGAATTGCTACCACTGCAGATTTTAGTTCTCCTAAGAGTTGCTTTGCAAGACTGCAGCTAGAACTGCAGGGTTTTTGTTCCTTTCCCTTGGTGCTATGAAGGATAACAGAGCAAAATGTCTGTTACATTTTCTTTCACCCCTCCCTCGTTCTTGTGAATTAAAGCTACCCCTCCTTAAATCGCTGCACAATTCACTGCACTGTGAAAATGATCAGTCAGCAAGAACCTCTAGATAATTGTTGGTGTCTTTGAGCTGGCAATAAATATTTTTCTTTCCAATGCTAGTTGTGTATTTAACTTCCAACCAAGAGGAAAATTTGGAGAAGTACATTCTTATTGATCATACAAGGAGCGGTACTTCTGAACTCTCTGGGGTGGCTTTCAGAAAATGTCACCCAAGGAGAGACTCAGCAGTTTATGTGGTGTGGGAGTACCAGATCAAGAAAAACATGAGAATGTTATTGCGAGTGTTTTCCCATGTTTTGCAACACATACACCAGGAACTTGGGCATTTGTATTTTTCATGGAGGAAGTAAAGGTTATATGCTATTTTCAAGATATAACAGCTCTATTTTTAAAGGCACCATTTGGAGCATGAAATATGACAGGCTGAGGAAATACTAGGTATGGTAGTTCAAAGTTTTGGCTCAACTTACTGCTGAGCAAGAAAGTTTGTTTCTTTTTGTGTGAAGCACCGACAGCATTTACACTTTCATAAACTGTAAAATGTGTAAGGGAGTAAAATCAGGAAGGCAGGAAACTGGAGATATTCTTAGTCCTGAATGTCTAATTAAGTCCATCATCTTCCCTATGGCTGCAGCCAGATATAGGATAACCAGAATGTGTTTATATGGTGCAATACAAGAGGTAGCTATGCTGCCTCCAAACTGAGTTAGCTTTAATAGCAGAGTAATAAATCTGTGATATTATTGAATTCTTTATGTAGCTCATAAGATGTCATGAGCTCTGTCCTGGCATGGAGGGCTCTTTCTGGTCTCTAAATTAGCTCAGGGGTCTTCTCACAAAGCAGGGAGTTGTAGAAGTCAGGCACTTGCATTTTCCAGTGGTTGCATTACTGTATTCACTTTGGACAGCCCAGACTCTCACAAATCACTGGTAAGTGACATAAAAAACTCTGCTATCAGAAGCACTGTCCTCACCCGCTTGAGACAGGTGTGAGAACATTGGTTCCTCTTCCCTGTTTGGGATAGCAATGTCTTATATAAGACCAAATTGCTCAGAAAATTGCCAGTTAGAAGGAGTTTTGAAGAGTGGCTGGTGTGTAGCTGCCCACAAACCCTTTCACAGTGTTCACTGGTGCTCTTTCAGCTGGTGGAGGAACTGAGAGAGGGAGAAATGGGACTGGCACCAAAGCATTACAGGATGCTGCTGGTATTCAAAGACACTTTTGTATACATACATTTATTTTCTCACAAGCACATTTTAACTCTTAAACAGCCAAAAATCACCACCATTTTTGGGCCTGAGAAAATGGATCTCAAAATATTTTTACAAACTCAGTTTGATATCCTGTAACCTGTTGCTCCCTCTGTTAATTTTTGATTTGGTGACAGGTGGACTGGACCCTTTCAGCTTTTAATTGCCCTCACTTTACAGCCAAGAATACACTGAATTGGTGTTGCACCTGTGAGGATTCTTTGGCCTGGAGTTCACATTTTTAAGAAAAACCTTTGCAGATAGAAAAATTTATTTATATTTCTACTCAATGTTGAAGACAAAACCCCCCACAACATTGGAAGATAAGAAAATATTTGGGACCAAATTAGCTACTTACTTGTCAGTGTTTTTTGACCAATTTAAAACTTCTAAATTTGACATTTTAAATGAATTTTAAGTCTTAGTTCTGTTTGTAAAAAACTAAGCTACTTGAGTGCTTCTGGCTGGCACAAGATAAAATAAGCATCTCAAATATAGAAACAGTTGCAATTATTGCTGCACAAAGCCTTTGTTACCTTTTTCTCTAGAAAGGTAATATGTTTACACACTGTGGTCTCAGAACACTGATAGCTGCTGCATTTTGCAAAGGGTAGATGAACTCAGAATACTTTTCTTCAAAAAAACCCTGTAGAGACTCACTCTTCATACACTCTACTGCCTTGGAGCTGCATGCTGTTTTTCTTCCAACATTGAAGGTGGTTTTTTTTCCTCTTTTGTAGAACTGAGAGACACAAAATTGGCTGTTAGGTGATTGAGCAATGCCTCCAAATGGTGTAAGCATCCTGTAACAGGCATGTCTCTTCTTGCCACATAGCCAGTGCCCAGCGGGCTGGGCGTGCGCCCAATCTGCTTCCATACAGTCACAGCATTTGGAACACTACTTCAGGAAAAACACCTGGGTGAGCCTGGCCGGGGAGGGAGCTGCTGGTATGGGCAAGGTGCCACCCCACATGTCTGCAGCCACCAGGCACAGCTCCCTGAGCCCCCAGCCCTGGTGCTGCTCCCAGCCCAGGGCTTGGTGCTCTACCATCAGCCGCTCTTGGGAAGCAAGGCTGAGCTTTGGCAGCAGGGGAGGTGGAACCCCCAGGACTCCTGGTGTCTCAGAACTTGCTGGGCAGGCAGCTGTGCCCTGAGTCTGCTCCTTTGCCTGGGAGTTTTGTATCTAACCACAAGCACTTTTGCACCTAAGAAAAACATCACCTCCAGATGTTCTTGTCATTCCATACTTTTGCCAGAAGTATCCAGAACTCTTGTATCAAAGAGCAGTGAGGTCAGCATTGCTGAGAAATATCTCTTATGGCCAGGTGCCCCTATTTTTGCTGTTTTAAAGGGGTAACAGACACTGGGAATAGGAACACCTTAAATGGGGTATGTTGAGCAGTGTAAGAAATTCCTCTCCTTGACTGTTTGTTCTGATGCTCTGCCTGAGGTGCTGTCCTCCCTCCTGTGCCTCCACACTGCATACTCTACCTCTGAGCCCCCTGTAAACTCCTAGAGAGAAGAGTTTGAGCTAAAACTCTGGGCTGGAAAATGAGATGTAAGAACACAATTGCTGTCCCTTTCAGTCTACTCAGGCAGCTACCTGTTTACTGGGAAAACAACCCACTTGTAAAGCCCTACAAGCAGACAGAAACTTTGTTGAATAAGAAAGAGAATGAAATAAAACTGAATATATAGTGTGATAGCTAGAACAGAGCAGGAATCATAAAGCAGGGAGAATGTGGGAAAGCAAACAAAAAGGAAACTGGTTTTGATAGGCTGAGGGGTAGAAAAGGATAGCTGGAAAATCCTGATCCATTTTTCTTGCCTAATAGCAGTGATGGTGTGGGCCCGGGGAAAGACAGATTGAACACCAAGTTGTCACTCACTGGGGGCAGGTCAGTTGCTTTCATGCTTACCTGACTCTGGACAAGGGAAAGATAGGACGCTTTGCATTTTATTGCTTCCATGCTTAAAGCAAACAAATTGATAGGTTACTTACTCAGTGTCAGAGGGAACTTTTACTGAACAGCATGCACTGCATTAAAGTTGAATTGTAATTATTGTCAGGGTTGTTTGGGCTGTGATAATTTTTTGGCACTTCTGTTGCATATATTTGGTTGGAAGCCAGCACTTGACAAAGACAAAGTGGCTTAGATGAGGGGATGAAGTCTGTAGATGCCTTGCAGACTTTAACTGCTTACTCAATTTAATACACAATTTAAAATGTGTCAAAGTGGCTTTTTTAGATCCAGAAGAGACACTTTGATCTCTTGGAACAGTAGTTGTTACTCAAGTCTTTAAATATTAAATAAATATTATTTTTTCCAGTTGTTATGCCAATGCAATATGCTTTGCTTTAACATGTTATAACATAAAAATCTATAATTTGAAAATTAAAGAATTAATATACGAAATAAGCTTTTTGAATTGAAGTGGTTCTAAATTTGGACCAAAATCAGAGATCCAATTTCCCTACAAAACAGATTCCAAATCCTTAGCTCCATTTAGGACAGAGAGCTAAACTAAGGCTGAAAGACAGATATCACTGAATTTTGACATTTATGGGTTATTTCCATACCTTTAAGTTTGCCAGATTGGTAGTGCTTTTATAAACACTTTGTTTCAAAGGAAGATTTTATTAGTTCCAGGAATAGTTTAGTTGTCCTTGTCTGTGCAAAAGGAAGCTGTTTTTATGGCATCTGCTGAGGTAATATTTGCTATTGAAAGACAGTGTCCAGTTTTACACATTTAAGGCCATTTCTCTCTTAATTCTTAATTGTTAAAACTAAACAGTAAGCTCTCACCCAAGCCCCCATTTCATTCTGCATGAGAAGACCAATCTGGAATTTTATGCCTTCTGCAGTGCATGATTTCTTGTGAAACTGAAATGTTCACCTACAAGAGGAGAGAAGCTCCCATGCTTTCTTTCTTGGGAGACGAGCCTCTTTTCACAGGTTTTTAAATTAACCTTTAATTACTAACCAGAGAAAACCAACCTTTGTTTTTTTGTATCTTCCTTCTGATTTCAGCCTGGGGAAGAGCCGCTGCTGCCACATACCTGGTTGGCTTCCTACTTCTAGTCATCTGTTTTGCACTGGCCATCATAGCATTTGCCATTGACACTCTTCGGTTCAACTTCATTCGTGGGATCGGAGGCTTGCTTTTCGTGGCTGGTAAGGCAGCATGTGGAGTCAAGTTTAGCTAGTGCAGATATATCCATACTAGAACTGGTATTTTCCTCAGGCCATCGTATACCCAAGTCTCTGCTGTGTGCAATTGAGCTCTGTATGAAAAATCAAAGTCTCTCATGGCACTGGATCGATTTTCAGATCCTCCAAAACAAGGATGGGTTTAGCTACAGGGATTATGAAGGACGGCAGTGGTGCTGGGTGTTAAACATGTTTTTTTTTCTCCTGTTTCTTCAGCTGTGTTCTCCATCATGGGCCTGGTGATTTACCCAGTGAAGTTCTCATCTGAAATTGAGATGACAGGAGTCAATATGTTCAGCTGGGCCTATGGCTTTGGCTGGACCACTGCCATTATGGAAATATGCTTGGGATTCTTCTTCTGCTGCCTTCCTAACTATGAAGATCAGATCCTGGGTAATGTCAAGCCCACATATTTTTACTCTTCCCCATAAGCACCAGGAAAAATGTGTTCATATTCCAGAGATACCTGACAGACTAGCTATGTTTTTCAGAATATTGTCATCAGATGTTAGTAGAAAAGGCTGGAAACTTTTCTAATGTGTGTAGAAATATGCCACTGGCATCTGCAGTAAAGTTATCTACTCTATATTGGACTGTCATATCTGATGTGGGTTGGTCAGATAAAGCACAAATGTTAAAACCCCTTGGTTTTCCTCTTTCATTCCCATGAGTGGGGTTTATGTGGATTCCACTGCATTTTAAATACATTCATCACTGTAATGAAATTCAGAAAAACTTATTAAACTGGCAATAAAAAAACCCCAATGCATATCATCTTCCTGAAGGAAAGAAACTCAAAATAATCCCATTTTGTATGTATCATCTTTAACCTGAGGATTTTTGCACAATTTTCAAAAAAGTCAAATACATTTGCCCACTGACTGCCAAAGTAGTAAATTAGTCAGCCAGCACTTCATAGCTTTGCTTCTATTTTCATTCATTCCCTTAAGCCATAAGGACAGAGTAAAGAAGGGATTAAAGCTCCCTACCAGAGACAGTATCTTGACTTTTCCTCATTCATGTGGAATGTATTTATTTCTAAATATTTGCAAGAGTCAGCAAGGAACACCAGTAAAGCCTTAAGAATCCTGATGTGCCATTGCTGGTGCCAGTACAGAGTGGGCAGAGGCAGAAGGGATTTCAAGCCACCCCTGCAACCTGCAGACTTGGTTTGATAAAACTCCTGGGGTGGCTTTCTTCTTGGCTGTCTTGACATTCTTTTCTGCTGTATCAAAACATATGACTTTAAAATGCTCTGCTATACTGGCCCAGCTTTTTTATCCAGTGTAGAAAGGTCAGGTATGATTTCCCTGCACCTCAGGAGCTGAGCTGGAGCAGTGTGAGTGTAAGTATTATACAGTTGCTAAAAGGCTCCTTCTTTGTTCATGTGCTGTTCTTAAGTATTTTTAAATTGGAAAGTGTATACTGTCATATGTAACTGTAAAATGCATAAATACTCCTTACCAGCTCATACTAAAGCTCTCATAAAGAAAATCACATCATAAAACGTCTTCCAGCATCCTATACTCCACAGTGCCTCAAGCCTCAATATACCGCAAGCAATGAAGTATACTCAAGACTCTACTGGTTTCTGCCTTGTTAAACCTAAATTTATAACATTCAATTCATTCTCTTAAGTGAAAAAAAGGGTAATATGTGATGTGGAAAAGGAGTCTCATCTAAATCCTTAACTACTGAGGTTTATTAGCTTGTAACACATCTGCAATTTTGTAATTGTGTATACTATAAAAGCCCTGCCAAGTGTTCTTTTTTTCAACAAATTAGAGATGGACAATTTTTCAGTTAAAATTTCTTGGTACCTAAAACTAATAAAGACACAGGGCTTCACCTGGGTTGTTTGGAGTTTTTTGTTTGTTTGTTTGGTTTATTGGTTGGTTGGTTGGTTGGTTGGTTGGTTGGATTTTTTAAGCCGTTAACTCCATTCACTTTTATGGAGTGTCTCCTAACCTTGATCAATAAGACTGAGAGATCGGTCTCTCAGTCTTATTGATCAAGGAATGGGGAGAGTATATGCAGCAAGGAATAATTAGGCAAGAACATGTAAATACTTTTAAACAATATTTCCTAGCTGGAAGAAAATCAAAGTGAAAAGTTGAGAACACAATTAGTATAAAATGACTTGTAATTCATTGTGTAATATTATCCATTCAGGAGAAAAAAACCATAAATATTTTCTTATGCTTATTACACCTAATAAAATATGGTATCTATGTATTGTTTCAAAAATTAGTCTTAACTTTTGTTCTCTACTGAGAGTGGGGAATTGTGGAAGCCCCCAAAGCCTCCTCCTCTCAGGCACCACCTTGGAGTACCTGAGTATGCTGGCTGAAGTTTGACAGCCAGCATCACAACTCCAGCTTGTGTTATTCTTCAGTCCAATGCTGGTTGCCTCCCAAGGCCTTGCTCACAAGCACATGAGAACAGGGGACACTTATGGACCACCTGGCTGCTTGTGGACTTATGGAGTTGAGTGCCTGCACAGGTGATTCTGTGCCACCATGTGCCACAGATGGTAGGTAACGCACTCGTGTTCACACAATAGGAAACCAGCACGGTCCTGCTCAGTGCTTTTGCTCCACCAGATGTGGCAATCCCTTGAGGAAGCTAAAGAGAACTTAAGCAACCACCATTTGTGTTTACAGCTTCTTTTGCATTAGCTGGACACTGACAAAACGCCTGGAGGTGAGGAAAGGTGCACAAAACAAGGTTTAGGAGTGTGACTCCAACCTTGATGAGAGAGCAGAGCGTAATTAAAAAGAAAAGAAAATCACCGGTGATCATCCCCCTTCCTCTCTCCTCTCCCTTGCTGATCTCGGCAGTTTCATCATCTCCTCTCTTCCCTTTTCCTCCTCCTCCTCCCTAAAGGTGTGTGAGTAGTGACAGGGCTGGTGACTCTGCAGGACACAGCCCCAGCCTCTATCTCCCACTGCCACTTTGCATTCCTGGGAGAGGAGGAATAAAGCAACTTGCCAACCCCAGCACAGCATCAGGGACTGTAGCCTGGTTCCCTGCCCCAGGCTCTCACTGGAAAGGCTTTTCCTTAAAGAACAAGGTGCATGGGTGGGTGGGTATTCAACAAGAAGAAGTATCACAGGTATTAGTAATCAAATGAAATCCTGCCTTTAGGGTAGCTTACTTGCAGTCATGCCAGTCCAGTTCAACACAAATTCCTAGAAAAACACATCCTAAACCCTAGAGCAAAAAAACAGTGAGAAGGACAACACTGCTTTACAGATGCCAATGTTGTTTCCTGCGAATTCTGCAACAGGGGTGCATGGCAAAAACAGCACGTACAGTATAATCAGTTCTAAAATATAATGGAAGCTAAATCCAGGAGCCAATGATGTGCCTCAATTTGTTAGATTATTAACTAACAGTCAATTGCTAGATTTTGAACTAAATGGTTAAATTTAAGGTTAAGTGCAGTGATAACTAAGCAAATTGTTAGACTGATTTGAGCTAAGTCACAGTCAGAGAGCTTGGATTTTCAAGCAAAGGCGAAGTTAGAGGAAGAGAAGACATCCCCTTAGTTCTTCATCTCTGTTAGCCAGGTTTCTCTGTAGAGAAGACTTGAGATCCAAGTCTTCTCATAAGAGAAAAGGACACTGAAACACTAAGAGCAACACAATAAAGGCCTTAAACTTTCATTGTGCCCAACAGCAATGCTAAAGAAAAAGCAGGGAAGAACAGATGTCTGAAGCTTTTGGGAACATTAGGTCTGCTACAACAATAGAAATAAAGATGACTGCCAAAGGCATTGCTTCTATTCCTGTCAAATTCAGAATTAGGGAAATGTCCTCCAACAAACATGTTTTATCGAATTCAACTTCACCACTGAAAAGCAATGAAGAAATTGGGTTGAAAACAAGCAGAATGCCAAGCAGGCCTACAGGTACAAACTGAAACAACAACAAAAAAACCCCAAACAACTTCCTGCTGGTAAGTTCATATCGTCAATTTAATTTCTGGTGTTTCTGCCAGAGCTTGAACATCTTAGTCTTTTCAATTTTCTCTGCAAATATGTCCATATTTCACTTTACATTTCTCAGGCACTTGCCACTTGGTCTTAAAATACATCCTGCTTAATCAATAATTCAAATGCAATCTAGTTTGCAGTTGTATTCGTTGTGCATATTTTGTTGTATGAACTACTGACATGACCGAAGTTTTGACCCCATTGCCATCATTGCAAAACATTAACTGGTTTTCTCGAGTGTGACATTTCATTGTTGAAGTGCAAGCCCTTTATTTTATGTGTTCAGAATCAATAATATCTCTAATACATGCTCCATTCAGCAGCTCTGTTTACTTCTGGAATAGGACACTGGTACACATAAGATAAGAAAGAAGATATCATATCACATATAATTTCCAAAATAAAGGACAATTTAATATGTGTAAGATTAGCAGAATTTGGGTCATAATTAAATCATGTTTTCTTAGATGCACAACATGGTCACATGAAAAAGCTTCATCTTTCCTTTTGACACACCTCAGTTGTGACAGTTACTCTTGTAATTCAGTCTCTTGGAACACTTCCTCACACATTTCTGTATCCAGTGGATTTCTCTGTGTTCTGAAGATAAACAGATTTAAGAAAAGAATGAAGCAATCAAGATCATGATAAGGGAGAAAGGGATTGGCCCATTTGTGTACTCTGTCAGAAAGTGGGATCCAAACCATCTTGTTAGAAGGGTAGTGATCTGAACAAAGAGTTCCTTCTGAATCATATTGGAAATTCCAACCTGAAATTTAAAAGACTGAAAATAATGGGGAGAGATGAAATCAGTTTGGTCTTCCTTTATCTTTTTCCACACTATCAAAATATGGCTTTTGCCAGAAATTTTGTTTTCAAGAAAAAAATTGTTGCTTTGGTGCAGCTCCATTGGAATCTCTGGGCCTCAATTTTATCTGCAAAATTCTTCAGTGCTCAGTGCCAAAATGCAAACAAGCACCTGCATAACCTTAAGGCTGCAGACGATTCTGATGGGGCCATCAGAGCTGTTTTCATACATGGTTCCTTAAATGACTTGACACGTTAGGGCTCATATGCCCATCTGCACACAGTGGTTAGTTAGATTTCCTGCATATGAAATGATGCACCAATTTTTTTTTTCAATTTTGTTTTTCATTTTTCATGATCAAAGTGACAATGTGGACATATCATAGGATTTTGCATGTGTCTGCTGGGAGTGCAAAAAATTTACAGGAACAACTTTCAAAATCTCAAACTTGCAAAGTTTTCCTGTGTAACATGAATGTGGTGAGATTAGATCAAACTGTCCTCTCTTGGGTAGCTTTTATGAGACATCCTTTCACTTGTGCCCTAGTTTGCCCAAGCCATCTGTTTTTTTGTAAAAACAGTTTTGTGAAAACCTACTTGAGTATCATAATGAAAGGAAATTATATTAGGTATCCATGGAGAATCCATCATAAAGCACTTTAAATTGCCCTTGATTGTTCAAATGCAGATGAAACAGAGAGGCAGCTGTTGTCTGTAGGATTTTTCCACAGATAGTGTAAATCCAGAAGATTTAATTATTGGCTGTACACCTGGCTTACATGCCCAGTTCCCCATTTCTTACAAAGTAACTGGTGCCCTAGAACTTTGCCCTCAGGACAACATCAGACAGGTAAAATGCAAACATGAAAAATGAAGGAAAAAATATTATATAAAGTATTTACATGAACACATCCATAGTATCACAATTTAGTCCATAGCTGACCTCAATGTGAACGAGGACGGGCCAAAGTTGTGTAAATCACAGTTGGGACTGTGCTGTTATTTCCAGTTTTTCATTCTTGTATTTTCCCATACGGAATTCTTCTAACCTCACTTCTGTAATGCCATACTACTTTTTTCATAAGTTGTCCTGATTTTACCACACCCTGTCTTGACAAGAACACATGTGCTTGCCAGGCTCATATCTGAAGCTTATACAAAATATTAATGCAACCAGGGTTTTATCCCTTAACCCTCCTCTTCTTCTTCTTAAATAAAAAGGCTTAAAGTAATAAAATCCTGCTGACAATAGGAAAATTAGAAGAATGGAGACTTTCTCAGGCTGTTTTAGAATTAACCCTCAAAAGAAGAGAGAACCAAGAACTGAGGTCCAAGA